TTTCGCTCTCTCTATCTCTCGTCGATAAACCGAAGCATAGCCAAACATAGCCATCAGAGCCGAGTGTACAATTTAAGATTGCTCATTCTATGAACTGTTCTCATCGTTCGAGCTAACATAACCGATCACGTACTTGAGTGATTTCTCACATCATCTGTTCTCATCGTTCGAGCTAACTGAACCGATCACGTACTTGAGTGCTTTCTCGCATCATCTGTTCTCATCGTTCGAGCTAACATAACCGATCACGTACTTGAGTGATTTCTCGCATCGTCTGTTCTCATCTTTGAATTTAGCATAGCCTAATAAAATCAGAGTGATTTCTGAGTGACATCTAGTGTTTGATAAAAAAGAATTATTTAATAGCTTCATGATGCCTGGAAAACGTCGTGGTGGTTCAAGTTGCAATACTTCTATGGTGGAAGAAGACGATTCAGGTAATCTTTTGAGGAAGTTAAACTCATTAAAAAGAGATATTGACAGAACAGCGAAAGCAATAGAAAGCAAAAAGATCTCTTCTAACCAATTGGAGCTTGAATGTCGTTTAAGTATTTTGGATACATATATAGATCGCGTGTTCTCCCTGCAATTGCAAATTGACTTTATTGACCCAGACTTAGCATCGCGAGCCGATCTTGAAGAGTTTTGCATCTCAACTAAAGCGTCATTAATGTCTCTTAAAAGGCCAGACAAGCTTACTTCGTTGGACGAGTCAGCCCTAAACACTACCATGTCACATACTCGGCATCTGCCCAAGATGAAATTGCCCAAGTTTGGTGGGAGCTATTCTGAATTTAAGAATTTCATGGGTTTATTTTCGAGCATTATAGATTGTGATATGTCTTTAAGCAACGTCAAAAAATTCAATCACTTATTGAATTGCTTAGAAAATGAAGCATTAGGTACCGTCAAGGCTTTCCCGGTGACAGATCAGAATAATTCCAAGGCTCTCGAAGCGCTAAAGCAGGTTTATGATGATTAGTGCCTTATCTTCCTTGATGGCGTATCTAGACTCTTTGAGTTACCGGCGATGCAGGCGCCATCGGCAAGCGCTTTACGGTCACTCATCGACACGGCATCTGCCATATACGAATCGTTACTGTCAGTGGGGGATAACAAGGTTATTGCTCTTTCCCTTCTGATAACCTTGTTCTTGAGTTCTTGTTCTCACTTTAGATGGAAGGAAAATTTGGATTATCAAAAGATTCCGTCATGGACAGACTTTGTTGCTTCATTGAACAAGCGTTATCAGCATTTGTCGGCTGACCAATCTACTTCCTGGTCGAAAGGGCTCCCAAGAACCCAAAAATAGGCAATTTGAAAAACATCACTTGCTGTAGCCCAAGCAAACAAGGGTCAAGAAACAAGTTGCGCGTATTGCAAATCAGCTAATCATTGCATTACAAATTGTTCGTCATTCTCAGGTGTGTCCGTCATGACTCGATTTAGGTTTGTAAAGGAAATCCCGCTTTGTATAAATTGTTTGCGAAAAGGGCACAGTGGTAGAGCCTGCAAGTCTAACCATTGCCGAGTATGCTCTAAGCCCCACCACACATTGTTGCATCGCTATAATGTTTACTCGGGCGTAATGCCAACCGCCCGTGAGGCTGTCGGGTCTCAGGGAGCGGTAGCTGCTGAGAGTACGAATAAGTTGTCGTCGAATTATGCTATGGCAGTGGATTCAGATCAGGTAGTTCTGGCCACAGCGATTGTGGACATTAAAGATGGCTCTTGTAAGCGTCAGCCAGCCAGGGTACTACTGGATTCGGGTTAGCAAGTGAATTTTATTACCGAGGAGATCGATCGAAACTTAAAATTGAAACGGATTCCTAAAAATATTAACTTATTGGGAATCGGAAAGGCACCAAATGGTGCAAACAACATGTGACGCCCAGCGCCAAGCGTCACAACAAAAAAACAACAACATTCCGCGGAGGATTATGACATTATTATTTCATTATTCATTATTATTCATTATTATTATTGTTATTCATTATTATTCAGTATAACCGTTACTTAGACTTAAGAGAAACAATATGAAGGATAATTTAATTAAAAAAAAAAAGAAAGCAAGCAAAAACAACCTGACGTTTAAATGTTACCAGCGATCAGAACCACACGGCCACACTACAAAATTTAAATCTTCGCGCCGACAATGTTGCCAGCGATCAGAACCACACGGCCACACTACAAAATTTAAATCTTCGCGCCGACAATGTGACCAGCGAGCAGAACCACACGGCCACACTACAAAATTCAAATCTACGCGCCAACAGTGTGGCCAGCCCTCCGAACCAAACGGCCACACTAGCAGCTGATCATAACCACGCGTTAGTACCAGAGACCGGAGCCAACAGCTGACTTTTGGCAATAAAAGCAGCCGCAACAGAGCCATCAGCACCATTCCATTCTTGGACTGCCAAGGGTTGATTCGCTCCCCAAGGCTTTTGGTAAGCATTGATTGCTGTGGTTCTTAGAGCGTACGATTCCTCTATAACCCCACTATCCCTGCTATATACCGTCCATTTCTTTGGAATACATTGATCACCGTGGTAGAGCGTACGATTCCTCTACCCGGTAATCTTTGCTGGTCTTCTTCCGATACATTTTTTGGAGTGCATTGTCCTCCGGCTTTCCCCTTCCTACTCAGAGCGCATTGTCCTCTGTCTCCCCAACCTTCTCCTCGGAGCGCATTATCCTCCGCAACGAACACTTCTCCTCGGAGCGCATTGTCCTCCGCAACGACCACTTCTCCTCGGAGTGCATTATCCTCCGCCACGACCACTTCTCTCGGAGCGCATTGTCCTCCGCAACGAACACTTCTCCTCGGAGCGCATTGTCCTCCGCAACGACCACTTCTCCTCGGAGCGCATTATCCCCCTCCCGGAGCGCATTATCCTCCGCAACGCACACTTCTCTCGGAGCGCATTTTCCTCCGCAACACACTTCTCTCTCGGAGCGCATTGTCCTCCGCAACACATCTCTCTCCCGGAGCGCATTATCCTCCGCAAACACACTACTCTCTCGGAGCGCATTGTCCTCCGCAACACATCTCTCTCCCGGAGCGTATTATCCTCCGCAACCCACTACTCTCTCGGAGCGCATTGTCCTCCGCAACGCATCTCTCCCCCGGAGCGCATTATCCTCCGCCACGCATCCCTCGCTCTCGGAGCACCTTATCCTCCGCGACCTACTGATCGCCCGGAGCACATCATACTCCGCGACCGATCCCCACCAGGTACGACCTGCACGCTGCGAGTAGCCACGTGCGGCCCTGACGACCCTGAAGGAGGACATCAAGGACGATCCAGTGAACCATTCGAGCCATACAAAAACTCTGTACAATTAAGCTAAATAAACATAGAAACTACTTTTGCCACCCTACCCGTGTCGCCTTCTTCTTGAACCTGGAGCCTTTCTTTCAGCTACCACATCCAGAGATCAAACAAATTTCTGTGAACCCCGGCGCGGCGAGCATACCCCGGTCAAAGCGCCGTCACAGTGGCGCCCGAGCAGGTTGTGGTAGCTTAGAATTGAAATCTCATTTATGGTCAAGATGGCAAAGGTGTGGATCAACCAAGCGACAAAAGCAGAACTGATCAGCTTTTGCGAGGAATTTGGATTGGAGAAGCCGGAAGGAGTGGAAACACTAAGGAGACAACTAATTCAGTTCACGGAAAGAAAGGATCTAAGTAAAGAGATACTGGAGAGGCTGGAACAGCTCGGAACAACCCAAACAAGGGGCAGGAGCCCAAAACCATCACCGAAAGGAATAACACAAGCCAAGCCAGCTATGGAAGAACCGCAAGGGGAACCGAAAACGGCAAAAAAGAGAACTTTATTTCCAAAGCAGATACGGAAAGGGTCACCAGAAGCAGTGGCCATTATAGATAAAATAAAGAAGTGGGACCTCACATTCACTGGAAATGGAGAACTACTCGAATTCCTCAGTAGGATGGAGGAATTAGCGGAAACATACGGGATCGAGATAGACCACATTGTATTTGCAATGCCGGTAATACTGGAGAAGAGTGCATTGGACTGGTGGCACACGAAACCCGGCCCCATAACAACATGGGAGGAGGTAAAAAGCCAGCTGAAGGAGAACTTCATGTCGCCACAATACCATGAAGAACTTATAAAGATAGTATCGGAGCGGAAACAATCAGAAACGGAGACAATACGAGAGTTTATTCAAGACCTGAGAAAATTGATGAGATTCGGGACGTACACCGAGAACGAGAAACTGGACATGGCATACAAGAATTGTAGGTTACCAATCAAACTCTATGTGAAGAGAAGGGAATTCCAGACGCTATCAGAATTCATCATAACAGCGGAAGAGTTCGAGAAACTAGAGAGAGAGGCAGGCCTATCAAAGACCGTGCCCAATAATCAACAAAATAACCAGACACCATGGCAACGACCACAATGGAGACAAACAAAATGTCACCGATGTGGACAAATAGGACACGAATCGAGGGGGATGCACCAGGGAACCAGTGTTATACTGTTGGACATGCAACAAAGAAGGAGTACGAACGATAGACTGCTGCAGGAAACCACAGGAAAACGCACAGGGCCCGGGACAATCCCGCGAAGCACCCGGAGCCCAAAACACGCAGAGCGGACCACCACAGATTTAAGATACGAGGACAACCAGCTCGTGGGAATGGCCAAGATCGGCGGAAAGAGGATGGAGGTGGTAATAGATACGGGAGCCACAAGAAGCATCTTGAACGGAAAAACGGCGAAAATACTACAGAACAACGGAAAGGAAGAGAAAGAAAATAGACTGATCAGACTCGCAGATGGAAGTACACAAAAAACCACGCGAACATTCCGTACCGGAGTAGAGCTAGGAGGCCAGGAAACGACATTATCATTTTTAATAATGGAGAGGCTACCAGACACGCCACTACTCGGAATGGACTTCTTAAGGGACGCAGGAACCATCATTACATGCGGAAACAGTACCGTAGTGATCAGTGGGAGGAAGAAAAAACAAAGACACGAAGAGATGGCAAGAAACTCACAACCGGAACCAACTGACAAGGAAATCGAAAAATGGATATCAACAGAAGTCCAGAAATTCGACAACCTCGGCGGAGTAAGTAACATAACAACTCATCGAATATTCCTCAAGGACGATAGACCAGTCAAACAGCGGTACTACCCAAGGAACCCAGCACAAATGGAGATCATCAACAGGGAAATAAACGAGCTGAAACGTCAGGACCTAATAGAACCGTCACGAAGTCCATACAGCTCACCAATAGTCTTAGTCAAGAAAAAAACAGGGGATTGGAGACTATGCGTCGACTACAGACTACTAAACGAAAAAACCGAGAAAGACGCATACCCGGTACCACGGATGGACTTCATATTAAACCAACTAAGAGAGGCTAAATTCATCAGCACACTAGACCTAAAGTCAGGCTACTGGCAGATTCCGATGGAGAGGCAAAGCCGACAGTACACAGCCTTCACAGCACCTGGGCGAGGCTTATACCAATGGAAGGTAATGCCGTTCGGACTCACCACAGCACCCGCAACGTTTCAAAGGGCATTAGATTCGGTTATAGGACCAGACATGGAGCCGTTCGCTTTCGCATACCTAGACGATATAATCGTCATTGGGCGAACGAAAACAGAACACATGCAGAAGCTTCAGGAAGTGCTGAACCGATTAAGGAGAGCAAACTTACGCATCAACGCAGCGAAATGCCACTTCTTCCAACAGAAGTTGAAATACCTGGGACACATGGTGAGCGAGGAAGGAATACACACAGATCCGGACAAAGTATCAGCCATCAGAGAACTGGTTGCACCAACAACACTAAAACAACTACACAGTTTTCTGGGGCTAGCATCGTGGTATCGAAGGTTCGTACCGACCTTCACCGAGAGAGCGAAGCCACTACAAGAACTACTGAAGAAAGGACAGAAATTTACGTGGGGAGAAGCCCAAGACAGTGCTTTCAACGATCTGAAACACTGTTTAACAGAGGCACCCATTCTGGCCTGCCCAGATTTCCGAAAAACCTTTATCCTACAAACGGACGCAAGCGATTGCGGACTAGGAGCGGTTTTAACACAGGAGGATGCAGACGGAGAACACGTAATCTCATACGCAAGCCGCAAGCTAAAAAACGAGGAAACTAAATATTCCGCTACAGAGAAAGAATGTCTCGCCATCTACTGGGGAATTCACAAAATGAGGATGTACCTCGAGGGATACCAGTTCGTAGTGATAACGGACCACTTAGCCCTGAAATGGTTAAATTCCATCGAAAGCCCATCCGGCCGAGTGGCAAGATGGGCGTTGGGACTACAACCATTCACATTCGAAATACGCTATCGGAAGGGGAAGCTCAATGCAGTGGCGGACGGATTATCCCGCTTACCACGCGAAGAGGTGAGAATCACAGAGCTGGTGGAATGCGCTTGGTACGAATCAAAATGGAAACAGATACAAACAAACCCGAAAATAGCAGAAGACTACACTATAAAACACGGACGATTATACCGACACATACCAAGCCAAACGGATGAAGACATCCAACCATGGAAGCTGTGCGTGCCAAAACAAGAAAGGCATAGGGTATTAACGGAAAACCATACGAACCCAACGGCAGGCCACCTAGGGATACGACGCACAAAAATAAGGATCCGACAACGATATTTTTGGCCAGGGATAAGCAGAGATGTAACAAAGTTCATCAGGAAATGTGAAAGCTGCCAAAAATTCAAAATATCGCAACAAGCAGCGGCGGGAAAAATGCTAACAAAAATCGCAGATGCCCCGTGGGAAACGATATGTGTCGATTTCGTAGGACCACTACCAAGAACATCACACGGGAACACAATACTCATCGTATTTATCGATAAATTTTCGAAATGGATAGAGGTGACACCAGCGAGGAAAGCAACCGCCGATACATTCATAAAAGCGTTCCGAGAAAAAATACTAGCACGAGGAGGAACACCAAAACAGCTGATATCAGACAACGGCGTGCAATTCACGAGCAAAAAAACCAAACAGGTAATGCAGTTATGGGGAATTAAGCAGCAATTCACGGCACCATACACGCCCCAAGAAAACCCGACCGAAAGAGCGAATCGAACATTGAAAACCATGATAGCACAGTACGCGGGGGGAAAACATAATAAGTGGGACGAGCACTTACCAGAATTAACACTCGCGATCAACAGCAGTCGATCAGAATCAACAGGATTTACGCCAGCATATTTATTGTTCGGACGAGAGCTACGGCTGCCAGGAAATCTGTTTGACGAGGTAACATTAGGATCAGGGTTCACAAAACTAACGACACAAGAAAGTGCAGAAGCACGACAAAGCGCGGAAGCATTAGCAAGACAAAACATGGAGGAAGCAGCAGCAAAACAGACGAGACACTACAACTTAAGAAGACGAGACTGGAAACCAAAGATAGGGGACATAGTATGGGTTAGAACTCACCCACTCTCAAAAAAGATCGACAAAATAACAGCAAAACTCGAGCCAAAATACAACGGTCCTTGTAAGGTCCTCGAACTCTTGTCCCCAGTAATAGTAACAGTCAAAGACACCTCTACTAACAAAAAAAGTCGAGCGCACATATCACATCTAAAACCCGCAAGCAAAGAAAAGCAAGAAACAGTCACAATAACGACACCTCTCTTTCTTTGCAGAATCATGGACAAATTTAATAATAGCGCACGGAATTTCAAGAAAAAAATGGAAGAAAGTAAGGCGAAACAACGCAAGGTGGAGGTCATACCACCGCTACCACAGCTAGGAGGAAGGATGAGGGTGTCCGGCACCAAAGTTGTGGCACCACAAAGAACAGCAAAAGCCAGCGAGACCACGACCAGTCCAGCAACCATGGCACTAGAGGCGGCAGGGACCGAAGAGACCAGGAAGAAAAGAATAAGCTGGGCCAACAACACCAGACCCGAGCCGGCTCAACCAAGGGCCAATAAGCGGGTCAGCTGGGCACGACAAGTAGAGCAGGAGGAAATAGACAACGATATATTGGACATCGGAGGACCAGCCAATAGTCAAAACACAGAAGTACGGAGGACGAATCCAACACCAAACACGGCATCTCAGGGTCGACCACCACGAAAAGCAGAGGCACAGACATCCGGCCAGGAGACAACAAAGACCAACAAAACATGCATAAAGGCCGCCATACCCAGCAACTGGGAGGTTCCCCAGGGGTGCGAGCTCAGCAAAAATCAAGTGGCAACCATCCAGCGAGCGATCGATGACCGAAAAAGCCACCACCAAAGACGATTCAAGCTGTGGAGCGAGGAAATACCAGACCGGGCATGCTGGGTGAAAATCGGCAGATCGGGAGACGTGCGTCTAGGCAGCTGGTTCAACGCAGCGGGGTCATCCGGACGACCCACCCAAGAAGGGGAGGGGGGAGTGTGACGCCCAGCGCCAAGCGTCACAACAAAAAAACAACAACATTCCGCGGAGGATTATGACATTATTATTTCATTATTCATTATTATTCATTATTATTATTGTTATTCATTATTATTCAGTATAACCGTTACTTAGACTTAAGAGAAACAATATGAAGGATAATTTAATTAAAAAAAAAGAGAAAGCAAGCAAAAACAACCTGACGTTTAAATGTTACCAGCGATCAGAACCACACGGCCACACTACAAAATTTAAATCTTCGCGCCGACAATGTTGCCAGCGATCAGAACCACACGGCCACACTACAAAATTTAAATCTTCGCGCCGACAATGTGACCAGCGAGCAGAACCACACGGCCACACTACAAAATTCAAATCTACGCGCCAACAGTGTGGCCAGCCCTCCGAACCAAACGGCCACACTAGCAGCTGATCATAACCACGCGTTAGTACCAGAGACCGGAGCCAACAGCTGACTTTTGGCAATAAAAGCAGCCGCAACAGAGCCATCAGCACCATTCCATTCTTGGACTGCCAAGGGTTGATTCGCTCCCCAAGGCTTTTGGTAAGCATTGATTGCTGTGGTTCTTAGAGCGTACGATTCCTCTATAACCCCACTATCCCTGCTATATACCGTCCATTTCTTTGGAATACATTGATCACCGTGGTAGAGCGTACGATTCCTCTACCCGGTAATCTTTGCTGGTCTTCTTCCGATACATTTTTTGGAGTGCATTGTCCTCCGGCTTTCCCCTTCCTACTCAGAGCGCATTGTCCTCTGTCTCCCCAACCTTCTCCTCGGAGCGCATTATCCTCCGCAACGAACACTTCTCCTCGGAGCGCATTGTCCTCCGCAACGACCACTTCTCCTCGGAGTGCATTATCCTCCGCCACGACCACTTCTCTCGGAGCGCATTGTCCTCCGCAACGAACACTTCTCCTCGGAGCGCATTGTCCTCCGCAACGACCACTTCTCCTCGGAGCGCATTATCCTCCGCAACGCACACTTCTCTCGGAGCGCATTTTCCTCCGCAACACACTTCTCTCTCGGAGCGCATTGTCCTCCGCAACACATCTCTCTCCCGGAGCGCATTATCCTCCGCAAACACACTACTCTCTCGGAGCGCATTGTCCTCCGCAACACATCTCTCTCCCGGAGCGTATTATCCTCCGCAACCCACTACTCTCTCGGAGCGCATTGTCCTCCGCAACGCATCTCTCCCCCGGAGCGCATTATCCTCCGCCCCGCATCCCGCGCTCTCGGAGCACCTTATCCTCCGCGACCTACTGATCGCCCGGAGCACATCATACTCCGCGACCGATCCCCACCAGGTACGACCTGCACGCTGCGAGTAGCCACGTGCGGCCCTGACGACCCTGAAGGAGGACATCAAGGACGATCCAGTGAACCATTCGAGCCATACAAAAACTCTGTACAATTAAGCTAAATAAACATAGAAACTACTTTTGCCACCCTACCCGTGTCGCCTTCTTCTTGAACCTGGAGCCTTTCTTTCAGCTACCACATCCAGAGATCAAACAAATTTCTGTGAACCCCGGCGCGGCGAGCATACCCCGGTCAAAGCGCCGTCACAAACAGTCTGTTCTCGTGTTCATCAATTTGAAATAACCACTGACTTCGTCATTTTAAAATCGATATCTTCGTATCACCCAGAAAAAGCTGTTCCGTCAGACTCGCTGATAATTCCTAAAGTTTTCACACTGGCCGATCCAGGTTTCCATAAACCCCAAAAAGTGGATCTGCTGCTTGGAGCTGATGACTTCTTTGAAATACTTAAAGACGGCCAATTAAAACTACAAAACGCGCTAAATTTGCAAAATTCTGTCTTTGGGTGGGTGGTGTCTGGTCGCTGCAGATCAAAGTCACCCCGAAGTACGGAAGCATGCTCTATGGTGAGCACATTGCAGGAGTTTTGCCCTCTTGAAAATCTTGTAAAACTTTTCTGGGCGTTGGAAAATGTTCCAAATGCGTCTATAGAAAAACTGTATATCCCCGAAGAAACTATGTGTGGAAAATCCTTTATTGACACTATCACACGATTACCCTCCGGTCGATTGACCCGACATCTCTCGGTTCGTCATTCGAGACAGCCAGAAGACGATTGTTGTCTTTAGAAAGGCGAATTTGCCAAAAACCTGCCGTAAAGTCAATGTTTATGGAGTTTGTCTGGTTTCCCAGCCTGATATTCCCCAATAAATTCCTCAAAATAGCCAGTGAAGCAAATTAACGTAATCTCACCTTTGTTTTCTATTTGCATTGCCCACTGCATATATATATTGTAACCGATTATAATTACTCACGGCAGCGGCCGTTCTTTCGCCTCTTTATATCTCCTTCTTCATTTGCTACTGCAGCTGCAGCATCTATGCTGTTCTCTCGCAATCTCTCTCTCTATCTATCGCTCGTGCTCGGCTCAGCAGCAGCCGAGCTTCTATCGCTTCTTTCGTTCTCTCTCTCGCTTGCATTAGGGCACGGGCAATTCGGTCCGCCTGCGCTCTTTTAGTCTTCAATTGATCGTCATCATTATAGCCCTCACGTTATACCGTCTTGATCAATCACTCACTTCTCTCGCATATTGAACAGACCCTGCGTCTTCAATTCTCGCTTTGATTTGATTAACCGGCACCTCTGGCTTTATTTCGCTACACCTACGCACCCCATATTTCGCCTACTTAACAAATAAACTGTACACACATAAAGTAAATTGAATCGCTCGACTTCTTAATTTAATCTAAATTCAACAGCTAGTGAAAAAGCTCCCTAGCTCAACATTTGGTGACCCCGACGTGATTTTTGCAATATACAATTCGGTAGTGCAAATTACAAACTACAATTTAAAATCGAAATTATCCTCAAGTTCCGTTCGTTCGTTTGCCTGCTGTCTCAACCCGTGTCATCGACCACATAGGTGCACACAAGCTTATAGAGTCAGCCCTTGCATATAGGCATAGCTGTCGGCAGTCTTTCCCGTATATTTAGCGTGTTGCTCTTTTCGGTCATCTTCCCGCTAGAAACGTTTCTAACTCTGCCCTTGCTATGGGAACCGATGCTGGAAACGACATTGCAGTAGCTGTTACGGCATGAACCTAAATTTCAGCGCGAAAAACCTTTGCGCCTAACAGCACCGAAACTAACATAAGCCGAACAAAGTGTTAAGCCGGGCGAATAGCATAAAAAGGGTTAAAAACGAAAGGTTAAGCAGGGCGAATGGCAGAAAACGAGGAGAGAAGAAAAAGAGAAAAAGGCGTGAAAAAAGCAGCTAAGGTTAAATGAAAAAGCGGTACAAGTTTTTTAGCTCCTCTGTATAGAAAATTCATTATCATTTATAAACTTAAATAATCATAATTATCCACCCGAAACACCCGTGAATAAATAACATTGAACTAAACGATCGACTACAAGAGACTTATTAAACGTACGGCCCAGATCTGGAGACATTGCCCGGCGAGACAATATTCTAAAAAACTTTAACCTGATTTAGCGGAGTGCAAGTCGAATCATTGCGACCGATTAAAAGAGGATCGGCGTGCGATGCAGTCAGCTGCGTAACGAGAAGATTCGACATTGCAGGTGAGATATAATCATAGAGTTGAACACAAAGGCTAATCTCTTACATTCGAGCGACACTAGGTTCGTGTATAACCAAACTTAAGACCACGCGGCAAAACACATCGAGTAAAAATGGATGGAGTTAATGGTCAGCAGTCGAAATCTGGAGGCAGTAACCCGTGTGGACTAAGAGATTTATACGCGCCTGAAAAGACGCCTGGTACGGGTCCTGAGACCGAGGGAAGCGAAGGTGAAATGTCTCACGTTAGGGATACGAATATAGACGTGATCTCGGCGGCGGCAAAGGCCGCACCTAACGTGCCCATCGCAGTTCCAGAACGTCATCAAGTACCAGAGCATACCAACGGAGGGGGATGGACTGATCAAGTCTCTTCACCAAGAACGAGTTCCATGTATAACTTAGAAGCATTCGCTCAGCGGAGAGCGGATACTATGGGAAGGCCGACCTATGCCAGTGCTTTCGAAGGAATGCGTCCCATAACGACGTATTCAGGACCGCCCCAAACAGGAGGTCTTATGAGCTCTACGGAGGTTGGAGGTTGGGACAAAGGAGTTCCCAGCTGTACGGAGGAGACAATTCAGGAATGACTGGGGCGAATCGGATTGGAATGCCTATGGGGCTTAATCCAAACGAGACAATGCCGAGCGGCGCTATGCCTTATCCAATTGGCGCACCGGCATCGAGCACTTATTTATGTGGGCAAAACCCCTTCATACGCGTGTCGACTGCACAGAATTATTCAAGTACGAGCCGAAATATGTCGGACCCGTACGCGTACGTGAACAACCAAGCAACCGCGAGCAGATAGCGACTAGACAAGTCATCAATAAGGATTTGCCATGCTTTTCCGGCAACCCCGAGGAATGGCCCATGTTCATTGTAAACTTTGAACAATTTACAGAACGTTGCGGGCTCAGCGGTCAAGAAAATCTCATGAGGTTGCAAAAGTGCCTGAAAGGTGCCGCTTTGGAAGCAGTACGAGGAAAATTAATGATGCCAGCAACAGTTCGACTAGCCATCGAGACTCTTCGAATGTTATATGGCCGACCAGAGGCTATCTATCACACGCTTCAAACGAAGCTACGAATGGAACCGTCCGTGAAATCGAGCAGCATTGAAAGCCTAGTTCGTCTTGCGCTGTCGGTGCAAAACTATCGTGCGACCGTCGACGCGATAGGACTATCCGCTTATCTGAATGACCCAATGTTACTTCGTGACCTTGTAGAGAAACTTCCATTCGACTTGAAGCTGGACTGGGCAAAGCAAAGCGCTGGACTCCCGTTGGCGGATATCGTCGTTTTTGACGATTGGCTATTTCGAGTGGCGTCATGTGCAAGCACTGTGATGCCCGTCGCATCCGAGAAAGAAGCCTGCGCGAAGGATAAGAATCCAAGGGTCCGGCTTATGGGGCATAACGATAGCAACGCACAACAACCCTGTCGTAAGTGCAATGGAATCCACAAACTAGAGGACTGTAAGCAGTTTCTAGATCTAGAGGGATCAAGTAGATGGGACTTCGTAAAAGGTAGTAAGCTTTGCTGGAGGTGCCTAGGCAAGCACTTTATAAGACACTGCAGGTCAACAAGAGTATGTTCCGTCGATGGATGCTCGAGAAAGCATCATTTTCTCCTTCACAACAGTAACCAGCAAAGTACGAAGGTAAGAAACAAGACAAAGGAAGAAGCTACGGTTCTACACACAATGCAGAACGAAGCTGCGTTGTTTAGATATGTCCCCTTAACATTGCACGGGCCTAGCGGCCAAATGCAAGTGTTCGCATTGATAGATGAAGGATCCGCCTGTACCCTGATCGAGACGGAGATAACGGAAAAGCTGGGTATTGATGGCCCCTCGGACGAGTTATGCTTACGCTGGACGGGAGACATCACGCAAAGAGAAGCAGAATCCAAGGTGGTAACCTTAACGATCTCGGCAAAGGACAACGCGGCGCGCAAATTTACGCTCCAAAATGTGAGGACAGTCAAAAACCTGGATCCACCGAAGCAGACGCTTGACAATTCAATCCTAAAATCTTATTCGCACTTGGAAAAGCTACCGATACTCGGCTACAAGGATGTAAGAGCGTCGTTGATCATCGGACTGGACAACGTGAAACTTGGAGTTGCAGTGCCCGTGAAAGAGCGCGAAGATTCAGTGTTCATCGCCGCCAAGTCCAGGTTAGGTTGGTCTGTTTATGGCCGCAGAAAGAGTGACGGGCCGGCAAGCCCGCGAGTAATGCATGTATGCG